CTTTCTTAACGGGTGAACAAGAGGGGGTGGTGGGAGGGGAGGTTTGTGGGCTGCATCTCTACCCCCTACACGCGCTACGAGTTTCGTTCGCTACAACCAGTGTCGCGTCTCTCCCAGTTTGTGTTTGTTTTTTTTGGGGGGGAGGGGGGGTGGTGCGGGGGTTGGTGGGTTTAGAGAAGACAATTGAATCTTCCCGGAGTTTTAACTATTCGCGGGCGTTTACACACATCAGCAAATATGAGAACGTAGATTCGGAAACAGAGTCAGTATTCACGCTAGATTCTACATTCAAAATCTCGAGACGCGACCAAACTGAAACTTGTGTGTGTGTGTTTCTTTCTTTCTTTCTTTCTTTTTTTCTTTTTTTCCAGATTCACTATTTACATTCGAGGACGAGAACGACTACGAGGACGAGATTTGACTTAAAGTGTTTTCGCGAATTCTCAGAAAATATACAAAGAAAAGTTCGCAAGGTTATTTTTATTGAAGGAGGTTAAGCCATCTCAAAATAGCAAAATTATGAAACTTCTAACGTTTAACGTTCTCGCTAAAACCCGTAGTAGAAAGGCGTCGCGTTTTCCCATCAAAATAACGCTACTTCACGCACGCGCACTACTCAGTATTGAGAAAATCTCGTACTCGTATCGAAAGGTCTCTATCAACGCGAAGACGAATACGGTACCAAAATTTTACGGATTCTTGACGAATCCCGAAAAATTTCCTCTGCTGTTAACACAGCTCGTCTTTAAACAAACTGCTTGCAGGTTGGTATCTCTGTAGGTTAAGGTGGATATTATTATTGTTATTTTTTAATTTTGAAGCATCACTACCACACTGAGCTGTAGATTTGGTGCAATCCTCTCCCTTCCAGGACTTGTCTTCGGGCGCATTATGTTACTTTGTCTATATCATTTTTCAGTGTTGATCTCTATTTAGTTGCCCATTCATTTTGCAGCTCGGGTCTTGTCACTGAAGCGTCCAGAGAGAACTGGAAAGTCGAAGACTTAATTCCTTATGTAAAGGTTAGGTTTACTTTTGGATTGTTCACAGTTCCCTATGTTTGCGTAAATTAAAGATTGTCGAGATCGAAGACTTTGCGTTACGGGCGGCCATCTTGGATGAATGTCAAATCTACCAATATGGCCGCCCGTACCGCTAAGCGCTCGATCCAGACAATCTTACGAGAAAATAGGGGACTGTGAACAGTCTAGTTTACTTTCATTTAAGAGAACATAAGAAAGCCTGAGTGAGTGATTGATTGTTAAATGATTTTCAATTCCCTTTGTAGCATGTGACTTCCGTATTTGGGGCAGAACGCTGTATGTTTGGATCTGATTGGCCAGTTTGTACTCTATCAAGAGACGCATCTTACAAGCAGACATTTGAAGCTTATTTGCAGTGCGTTTCACATCTGACTGACAAAGAGAAGGAGGCAGTTTTCTGCGATAACGTGGTGAAGTTCTACGGACTTGATCAAGTCAAGTAGAATGCCAACATAAGAATAACAGTGCCGGCCATTTTTTGTCTCTTTGCTCGTTTTCAAGGGGGGAAATAAAACAAAAGAATCCATGGTAAAATAGAGGGATAAGTCATCAATTTTTATTATGATTTAAAAGAATTTTTATCCGGTATGGAGTCAAGTTCAATTTGTGTGGTCATTATGATAAGAACATATAAAACGCTGTGACAGTACTCCCTAAGTTATAGCTTTTGCCCTTCTTAAGTAGAAAAGTTGAACACTAGGAACAGCAGAAAAGGTCTCTTTTTGTGGTTACCTTCTTGATGATTCACCGAACGTTTTGATTGTGATATGCACTTAGGGCGACCCTATAAAATTCATAGTGAAACAAAATAGGTAACAAATAAGGGTTTTAAGTGTTGTTTTTGAAATGAACCGGTGTAGCTCTTTCAGGTTTTAATTTTACAAGTATGCAATTATTTGAAGTGCAATTATTATTATTAGTAGTAATGGTAACAGGACTGAGTGGAGTCCAATTCGGTCTGTAATCATAACTATAACAAAATTGTCAAATCTGATTGGCTATCAACTGCCCTGATTTCAGCCTTAATTGGACAGTTTAATAGGACAGTACGCGTCATGCCTAAGTAATTGGACAGTACGCGCCATCACGCGCGCTTAAATGACTTTTTTTTTCACTGCTAGCAAAACAAAATTTCGAATTTCTTGTGTTTTGATTTAAAAAATAGCCTATTATATCACAAATTTTGTTAAAGTTATGATTAATTGGTAACAGGACTGAGTGGAATCCAATTCGGTCTGTAATCGTACTCGTGATTAAACAAATCGGACTCCCGCTACACGGTCGTCCGATTTTGTTAATCACTCGTATGATTACAGACCGAATTGGACTCCACTCAGTCCTGTTACCATTACTTATTATTATTATTATTATTTCGTACACATTTTATATCTTACTTTTATATATTCGTTTTGATATCCTATGAGTATGAATGAGTTCACATAAAATATAGAAGCGTTTACTGAAGAGACAGTTTAACCTCTGAATAATAAACAATTATTGGATGAGGTTGAGCATAATATCATGAATGATCAAAACCGAGGTCTGTGTTATCTGCCGCAGCCGAAGGCTGAGGCAGATAATACAGACACGAGGTTTTGATAATTCATGATATCATGCGAAAACCGAATTCAATAATTGTTTTATTATACATTTTTTAAACAATAGGCAAAAGAAGACATTCATCTGTTGACATTCATTCTGTTTCTGAGGAGAACACTCCAAGGGGCTTTGTAACCAGGCAGACGTTGAACTTGACATGATAAATGCAATATCTGCAGCAGATATTGCATTTATCATGTCAAGTTCCAAGCTATTGTGAATTGATTGAATGCTCTCGACCAATCAAATTTTTCATAGTGAGTCTGATGTATAATAATAGTGTTTATCGGCTCCCGTGTTTATCATATCCAAGACAAAAGAAAGTCACAAAAATTAATAAAGACTATTAAGTACTATACCCTCTCATCATTTTCTGTTTAAAGTTCGAATACATGACGTACAGTGATCACGTGTGTGGTCTGTTGGAACCGTCCTCACTAGAATGACAAACATTTGCGGGCGAATGCTGTTGGAAGAAGATTGGGAACAAGTCAAATTCCTTCGAGACCCAAAGGCCCAAGCACCTACCCCGCGCATAACAATACTGCAACCGATGCATGCTATTATCACTACCGATAATCGAGAGCTCGAACTGAACATGCAGTTATTGGCTATTTTGAGGCTGAGCATCAGAATGGAATGGTCTCGAGTCGAACTGCTTTATGGGATTGTTACAGACTCTATCACTACATTGACTAGCTTGCTATAGTCGCTGATCGTACGAAACATTCATCCCTCGCCTCTTCTATCTTCTCTCCGTCGTTTTTAAATTGAAAGCCATCAGTAGTTAATACCAGAAACTTGAGAGGCAAAGACAGCCCCGATACGCGATTGAAATCGACTGGTAACCTAAACGGTATCTCGCGGAGTAGTGGTGACCGGGGCAGTGGGTGGATGGAGGAACTCCCATCCATGACCTACATGGGGATGTCAATGTGCCCGACAAGTAAACATGCAAAAGGACTATTTATATTCTGCTAGATTTCTCAGCATAACTTTCCTAGTTTCTAGGTTATTTTTGTAAGTTCTCATCGTTTATGTAGAATCATTTTTGCTCGAGAGTTCACAGCAACAGTATCTCAGTACCGTTAGTACAGTCATCAGTTCCCGTACCTTTTTCCGTCTAGACTTTGTTCATGATTCACACCACTTTTGTAAGTATTTTCGCTCAGTTTGTATTTTTTCCTGTAGTTTTTCGTCGGTTCATAGCTGTCATTTGCATTCCTTAGTAATTTGTAATTTTGTCTCAATTGTAGCAATCGCAATCGTAATCGATGAAAGTGAAATAAAGGCGCGTTGGAAACTGTTAGACTCAACCTCGTTCCCAGGTTTTCTCTCCTACTCTCGCCCCGTAGGGACAGGTAGAAGAGAACTGGCCCTGGGAACGAGGTTGCTGTGAGACCATTCGCTACAATAGTGCCGGTAAATAGGTTTACGTTTTCCTGGGTCTTAAGCTACTTCTTTCACACAATTTGGTGGTAGCTGGAGCTGTTTGAACTTTGATGGATGTTAACACAGCTACTTATAGCCTGCAAGGGAGCCCTCCATTTGGGACAGTCGCGAGAAGTCACACTAGAGTGACACGCAATAGCAGGAGCCGATGGCAAAAGTAGACGCGACTGCGAGGTGCGTTGTAACTTGCGGCCACTTTACTTACCTACCGCGCATCATCTTTGCTCTCAAACAAATCCCTTCTAAAAAGACTTAAGTCAAAGACAAAAGGAATCAATTTGATTTTATTGCATTGAAATGGGCTCCTGTCGCTGGCTAATTGTATGTAAGCAACTGTGAATAAAATCGTTGAATTAACTATGAGTCATATTTAACAATGTTATTTAATCCAGTTTCCATGATCCGCAGTGGTCCTTTTGTTGACACTAAAAGGGTTTTTTTTTGTTGATTCACCTAATGAAAACGGTTTTCATCAATCACATTAACCTGAGATCAGGCGTCATTTTTTTTCCTGCTTCTTTGCTTCTTTGGCTCGAGAGGGAAAAAATAGCGCCCTCCTCCCGAAAACAGATTACAGAGATAAAGGGAGAGGGCATGATCGCAGGCTACAATCACATCTCCAAGGTAAACCCACACATCCGCCCGCACTTCCTAGCAAACGGCGGCTGCTGGTCCCCATGCGTCCTAAAATACATGTAGCCGCACCCTTCCCCCGACAAAAGAAAAACGTCAGGGTGAGGGTGCGGATACACGTTGGCTACCGTGAGAGAACTGAAGAGAGGTCACGTCAGTTCACGATGATGAGCAACGAAACCGGAACAAAAGTATACTGAAGTATAGTAATCCGATGGAACCACGATGGCTTCGAGAAGTCCTCAAAAAGTCTTCGAAAATCCATCAGTAGCAGTAACCCTTGATGACTTGACGGATTCTCCATCAAGAGACACTGTATTAAGTGAAGATCAAACTGAATTCCTAGACGCAGTGCGTGACGGAGATCATGCCAGAGTGCGCGAATACATCTTGCATAGGTCTGTTGATGTGAACTGCGTAAACCTGCTCGGAGAAACGGCTCTTCAGATAGCAGTGAGCAACAACCGCCATGAAATTGCCAAGTTCCTTCTTAACGAAGGTGCAGATGTCGGTAACGCGTTGCTGTATGCCGTCGCGAATGAGTCAACTGTCTGGGTGACACTGTTACTTGACTTCATTGAAGACCGGAACGCTCAGAACCACGCAACAACAGCAGGTACCTCACGAAGTCAGGAGGCAAGTAAAGCTAGTGAAGATCATTGTTATACAAAATACATCTCGCCTCTAGTGTTGGCTGCGCAAAGTAATAATCAAGAGATTGTGAAGATTCTCCTTGCGAAAGGCTACACGATTGAAGAGCCCTCTTTTCACAGGAGATCGTGTAAATGTGGGGAGTGTGAAGGCAAACGTCTTGGAAGTTCCATTCATCGTTTGCATAGCTACCGTGCGCTGGCAAGTCCTGTTTACCTATGTTTGTCTTATTTACTCGATCCTTCTCCCAGTGGAGATCAAGATATAAAATCATCCAAAGACCCGATCATTCGTGCGTTCCTTCTAAACCGGAAGCTGGAAAATCTTATGGACGAGGAATACGAGCTTAAGAACGATTACCAGGCGCTGTCTAGCGCATGTGAAGAGNTCGAGAGGGAAAAAATAGCGCCCTCCTCCCGAAAACAGATTACAGAGATAAAGGGAGAGGGCATGATCGCAGGCTACAATCACATCTCCAAGGTAAACCCACACATCCGCCCGCACTTCCTAGCAAACGGCGGCTGCTGGTCCCCATGCGTCCTAAAATACATGTAGCCGCACCCTTCCCCCGACAAAAGAAAAACGTCAGGGTGAGGGTGCGGATACACGTTGGCTACCGTGAGAGAACTGAAGAGAGGTCACGTCAGTTCACGATGATGAGCAACGAAACCGGAACAAAAGTATACTGAAGTATAGTAATCCGATGGAACCACGATGGCTTCGAGAAGTCCTCAAAAAGTCTTCGAAAATCCATCAGTAGCAGTAACCCTTGATGACTTGACGGATTCTCCATCAAGAGACACTGTATTAAGTGAAGATCAAACTGAATTCCTAGACGCAGTGCGTGACGGAGATCATGCCAGAGTGCGCGAATACATCTTGCATAGGTCTGTTGATGTGAACTGCGTAAACCTGCTCGGAGAAACGGCTCTTCAGATAGCAGTGAGCAACAACCGCCATGAAATTGCCAAGTTCCTTCTTAACGAAGGTGCAGATGTCGGTAACGCGTTGCTGTATGCCGTCGCGAATGAGTCAACTGTCTGGGTGACACTGTTACTTGACTTCATTGAAGACCGGAACGCTCAGAGCCACGCAACAACAGCAGGTACCTCACGAAGTCAGGAGGCAAGTAAAGCTAGTGAAGATCATTGTTATACAAAATACATCTCGCCTCTAGTGTTGGCTGCGCAAAGTAATAATCAAGAGATTGTGAAGATTCTCCTTGCGAAAGGCTACACGATTGAAGAGCCCTCTTTTCACAGGAGATCGTGTAAATGTGGGGAGTGTGAAGGCAAACGTCTTGGAAGTTCCATTCATCGTTTGCATAGCTACCGTGCGCTGGCAAGTCCTGTTTACCTATGTTTGTCTTATTTACTCGATCCTTCTCCCAGTGGAGATCAAGATATAAAATCATCCAAAGACCCGATCATTCGTGCGTTCCTTCTAAACCGGAAGCTGGAAAATCTTATGGACGAGGAATACGAGCTTAAGAACGATTACCAGGCGCTGTCTAGCGCATGTGAAGAGTTCGCCGTTTCACTTCTCACGAAGTGCCGATCGATGGAAGAAATCGGCTGTTTGATGAGTGTACCGGGAATCGAGAAACTTGAGCATGTAGAGGTTAGAGGAGGGAAAGAAGCCCAGAAGCTGAGCGTTCTCAACTTTGCAATAGCTAACAAGAATGAGAAGGTAAGACCAAGTACAGCTGTAGATGTAGCAGGGGTAATATATATGGTGCGATTAGGAGCGATTTGTAATTTATGGTTACTGTTACCTTGGTGAAAGGTCGTGATTTGAAAAACTTGACATAGCGGAGTTTTAACTAAGGGTGTGATAACACATCCTGATTCATGAACAACGGTAAAATCGAACTACGTTTCTGTGTTGGACATAACTCCACTTTCAAGTTTGAAATTCTCAGAGTAGTCAAAAAAGTTGGCTGAAGATTAACGCATTGTTACGCAAAGTATCGCAAATAGTTTGGTTCAAATTAAGTACGATTAGACGTTTAGTAAAGGGTGAGTACGAGTGTCTGTATCGTAATTAGCATGCAGCATTTCTTGTCATTATGCATATCTCATATTACATTAGGAAATTTACATTTCAATCCGGAAAAACACCTCGTCACACCATCAGAACAAAGCAAAATTTCGTTACAGTCCAGCGCGTGTACATGTTTAGACTATGGTAGATGCATGAGCTGACGATAGGATTCGACACGTGACTGACTGACTGACTTTTACGGAAGTAAGACTTTGGCCTACCAGTGGCGGATCCAGGGGAGGGGCCCGGGGGGAAGCTTATTTTAGACCATAGTGAGGCCCGAAGAGCCGAAAAAATTTTTTTGGCAGATCGCCCCCCCCCCCCCCCCCCCCCTTCTCTACTTCTGTTTGCCCCCCCCCCCCCCCCCCACCCCCCGCCCCAAAATAAACCTCCGCCGCTTTTTTTTTTCTACATTTCCCCCACCCTTCCCCCCTTCACCCCCCCCCCCCCCCCCCCCGCCCCCTCCCTCCCCCCCCCCTCTAAAAAACATCTTTTTTCTTACACCCAAACAACACTAAGCAAGCAAAAAAAAAAA